TGTTGGAGCGAGCGAGCCGTCGCACGCATGTATCCGCAAATTCCGTCAACGTGGTGCGGATGTCAATTTCATGGTCGACAGTTCTACCCCTATCCATTCTTTCCTCACTGAAATTTGGCGATTCTATGATAAAAGCCAATTGCTACCCTGCATAAAAGCGCTCGTAGAACCATCTTGTAATCTTTCTTTGCAAGACCGGACCGTCAGAACAGTACTACACATCGCTCTTGATGCACGTCTAGAAGATATTGTCACATACCTTCTCGAGCAAAACGCAGGGCTGTCAGCAACGGCGACTGTCCTTCCAGACATGTGGAGCTGGGCTACAAACAAGACGTGGTTTCCCAAGGTTTCAAGCAGCGGCTCTTGCTGCTGATCAACCGTGCATCAGAATTAAGGGGAAGGTTGTTGTTGATACAGCGGAATCGAAACTCATCGAGTTTTCAGTTGCAGTCACTGCAGACTGTGATAATCCCAATCCGATTTACGCTGTCGTTGTTTCAGCAATACTCAATGGCAAGCTGTCAGGTGTGAGTAACCACTTTCATCCAGCCGTATAATTTACTGATTAGTTCAAGGTTAAAGGGCATCATCGCCGACCTTTCGTGTTGTGATCAGTCACTTCAAAAGGACATCCAAGACTCCCCGCAAGATGATTCCCCCAGACTCAAACTCTACTTCAGATGGAAAACGTGGGCAGCGTGTCTCTAGTCGCTTGTTCGACTATTCATCAAGGAGACAAAGTTACCAGGATGCTGCATCAGTTAACCGAAGATAAAGACTCGACCGGCACCTCCCTTTGTCTTCAGATGACCAAGAACAAGTGTAATCTCAAAGTCTTGGAACATGTGGTAGAGTTCGTACTCGATATTTACAGAGGACCTTTACCTTAGTCTCGAGGTATGTGATAATTCTTCTCAAACATCCGGTGCTCTGATCTTTACAGGGAGGATACTACAAGCGGACATTCATCATCTGGAGTCGTGCAGATATGCATGCTACTAGTTATCCATCTGTTGTGTTTGTGCATTCTTTTGAGGTGGTCATGCTGGTTTTGCAATCGCTGTCTACAATTGCCCTTCAGTATAGTAACTACATCTGAATTCATGCAATCCCTAACCTCTACCTTCATTACGACCGCTAGAGGAGGCTATTAGACCCCCGCTGTATCGCTCAAATTATCAAATCACTTGCATTAATACTACTGATGGATGAAAAGGTGACGAGAAGAGCAGAAGCGAGTCCGTCCATACATGAGTCACGGTGATCGCAGACGTGTCCATGACGAGGGCATGACTTTGATAAGGGGCGGCATGACATGGCGGACATGAAGAACATGTTTTCACATAGGCAAAAACTGAAAGGCGAGGAAAGAGCAAGGAAGATGTGATAAAATGGGGACGAAAAAGGAGAGACTGGATAACATGGTTAAGGATACGACATTCAATACCCACCATTGCTCCTCCCAGTCCATGTCTCTACGTCTGCTTGTTCTTCCTCAGTATATTCATGTTGTCACGGTGGCACGAGGTGCTGATCAATGGGATTGAATACCGCAGACTCCATGCCACTCTCAATAACAATCTCGCTAGTACTTCTGTTGTTGAGAGGCCTGCTTCTCCTGTCTCATGATATGAACGTCGTCTCGTGGTACTGCAACCCGAAACTGAAGTGACTATGGGAGCAGCTGCTGTTGAGATAGAAGAAGAAGATGCTCATTGTAAGGCGCTTGAGACGAGAGGTATTGAGGACTTGCGATTGTGCAGACGGTTGTGCTTATGGAGTAGGTCCCAAGTACTGAGTTGGAGGACATGGGATGGAGAAGCGAACAATGACATTAGCGGTGTACATGGGAACACCAAACTGCAAGTATTTGGGAGTGTCGAGATCGCAAGAAAGTGAGGGAGAGGAACTGACATACGTACTACGAGGTAAAGTGTTGGCCTGGAGGAATGTTCAAGTCGTGACGTAATTACTAATTATCATTTGTGGTACTTTGTTTTTCTCAACAACGCCGTGTAGTCGAGACTCGAGAGTCGAGAACTCGACCATCTTTCATCAAGAAGATTACGGTATTGCACGATCCCTACTATATGACCTGAGCTACCGGCAGCCTAGAATGGATGTAGCGTGCATGCACCGCACACGTGTTAACCTGTGCTAACATCATGTTGATCTGGTAGGCCTTTCCATTCCATCAGTTTTCTACCAGAACGTAACCTTGCTTCTAGATTCTCAGGTGGCTACTCTCTTCAAGGTCACTCATTGGATACTCACTAAAATAATCTAGTTCCAACGTCCATATACTGCATGTACTTCATATCACCAGTTCTTATCGATTATCAATTACTGCATCATGGTCTCATGCGATGCAAATGGATTAATGAGCGCCTTTCTTTAGTTCAAAGTCACGGCGCTCCTGAGCGCCTAGGGTTAAAATTTCCACCCCCCAGATGTCGGATCCCATCAGTGTCATCGCCGGTGGTGTCGCTGTTCTTCAGCTCATTCAAACAGTAGCGCAAGCTTCAGCACTTTTGTATAGATATGTTGCCTCCGTCCGCAACGCCGACTCGTCCTGTCAGAGTCTACTCAATGAGCTCAGCGCAGTCGGTGGCGTCCTCACCACAGTTATGGCGATCAAGCAGGATGACACTCTTCTACCCGATCTCAACCATGCGCTTTCACAATTGATGGCCACAGATGGACCAGTTGCAAAATTATTGGTGGAACTGAAGAGCATCCTGCCAAACGAACGGGCCCAGGAGAACGGGAAAATGAAGACGATTCCCAGATTGACATGGCCGTTCAAGGAAGAGAAAGCAGGTGCAATCATCGATAAATTGAAAAAGTACTGTGGCGAGATTGCAAACATTTTAGCAGTCGATACATGGTGATCTTACTTGCTGATGACGATCGTTTTAATACTAATTCCATCGGAAGGAATACACTGAAGGAAGTCAAGCTTGAACTCCAAGACGTCAATCGAGGAGTCAAGGAATTGAAAAATGATTCTGCCGCACAAAAGGCGCGCGAAAAAGGTGAGCGGCTGATTGCCAGTTACTTTCTACCTTGTTCATGCGCGCATAGATGAGGAACGTCGAAAGTTCCTTCAATGGATGAACCCCGTGTACTGTGATGACAAGCACGCCATCTGCCATGGTCAGCGAAACCTTGGGACCGGTCGTTGGATTTTCCATGCCGATGAGTATAAGACTTGGAATACATCAAATCACGCATTTCTATGGTTGAATGGCCACCGTGAGTTGTATCATTCACCGTTAATTGCGGGTCGTTGACACTCACAACAGCTGGACACGGAAAGACGATCCTTGCGTAAGTTCTGACCCATCAAGAGAGCTTTCAGAGCGTATGTTGACTAGTATTGTTTCAGCTCAGCCATCATAGACGAAATTTGGGGTAGCGATGAAGCAGAGCCACAGACGCTCGCTTTTTTCTACTGCAATTTTCGAGACGACAGGACGACAAACGCGGCTGCAGTATTGCGTTCCTTGATTGTTCAGCTGCTTCAACAATCTAAAGATGACTGGATCACAAAGATAGGCGAGAAGCAAGAGTCAAACACAACAGGGGACCTTGATTCTCTGCGAAACCTCTGTCAGCTACAACGCGATGCAAAGTCACATCCTACAGATCTGGGATTTCTGCAAAAGCTTCTTGTTGAAGCGTCTACGCTGGTTCGCCGACCAGTCCTCGTGATTGACGCCTTGGACGAATGCAAGGATTACCCAGACCTGGTCAGACATCTTGTCGACCTTGTTAAAGATAATCGACTACGACTTTTCGTCACCAGTAGAAGCGAGCCAGAAATCCAAGAAGCCTTTCATGATTTCCCTACCATGTCGCTGAAGGGCAGTGCAGGACAAATGAAAGAAGATATACAGGTGCACATCAATGAGCAGCTGAGTACTCAGAAGCGCTTGTCACAACTACCAGACGACCTGAAGAAGAAGATTTTGGAGAAATTGTTGGAAAAGGCCGAGGGCATGTAAGTAAAGCAAATTCCGCTTGCACCTTAGAAATCCATCATATGATTGCACGTAGGTTTCGCTGGGTTCAGTGTCAACTTGACGAAATCATGGCTTGCAAAAGACGTATCGACATTGAATCAGCCCTCAATAACCTTCCGGCTGGACTGTACGAGACGTATGATAGGATTATTCAGGCTATCAAACAGAAAGGACCAAGCGACGACCAAATCGCCCGGAGTTGTTTGCTTTGGCTGGCCGGCACGTTCACCCCGTTGACGCTTGATCAGCTCAATGAAGCGATGATGATTGAAGTCGGACAATCAAATCTTAATCCTGACCTTGGCGTTATGGACCCTATGGATATCGTGGCTGCGTGCGGAAGCCTTGTGACCTACAACGAGCAAACCAGGGTGGTCGCTCTATCTCATTATAGCGTCAAAGTATGATTTATCAACCTTCTTCATCCTATTCGTCCGCTGATACGCTACGCGACCAGGAATACTTGATCAGTTGCACTAGTAGCATCTTCAAATCAATCTCAGACATGCATGCACGGATTTGCGAGCTCTTGATTACGTACGTGTTGTGTGACTTCGTGGATGAGATCTGCGCCAAAGGTGCGATACTACCTTTCACGTATATGAGCTAGGAAACTGACACTCGTATGTTATAGATCATTCTGATTCTGATTCTGCCGATGGTAACAAAGACCATCCCTTGCTTAGCTATGCAATTCTAGGATGGAAGCACTTTGGACATGTTTCGGATGAGGATCCTTGCGTTATGGATGCCCTGTCACGGCTGAACTCGAAGTTTCTTCAAAACAATAAGAAACATCGCGTGCTTGCTCAAAGCGAATCCGAATATGAACTTAGGTGGTTGAGTGCCGCTGCAATTTTGCCCTCACTTCTCTTCATCCCGCTTAAGCACGGAAAGCCGTGGACGGTCGAATTCATCGTCAAGCAGCACCCCTATCTCCTGGACGCGGATATTTCCCCTGGTTGGGGTTCTCCCTTGATTTTTGCCATAGTCAAGAACCCTGATTGCCTCAGTACTCTCCTGAAGCTGGGCATCAATCTCAACAAGTTTTCTTCCTTCAAACCTGGTTTATACGGCTCATATTCCATTGATGACGGCTCCTATGCTCCAATTTCGTGGGCAGCTGTGACTGGAAGTACAAACGCTGTGGATTTCTTACTGTCACGAACGGAGGTCGTCATACCTAATGACATCCTGCATATGGCAGTTAGGGCAAAATACCCGAGGCACGAATTTATCCGTACATTTCGTCAACGTGGTGCGGATGTCAATTTTACACTTAACGGTTCTACCCCTACCCATTATTTTCTCTCCACTTACGTCAATGGTCGGCTGTCGGGCTTCTTTGCTCAGCTGTTTAACAGAAGCGGAAGCAAGTGGCTACCCATCATAAAAGCGCTCGTCGTGCCATCTTGTAATCTTTCTCTGCAGGACCAGACTGCCAGAACAGTACTACACATTGCTCTTGATGCACGTCTAACACGTATTGTCAAATACCTTCTCGAGCAAAACGCAAGGCTGTCAGCAAC